CCCTGTCCGCGTGTGTGACGCTTTCCCGTTTAAATCGTCGTCGCCGTCGTCGTCGTCGTATCGTCGTCGTCGTCGTCGCCGCTCCCCCCCATCCCTGGGCCCTCCTCCTCGAGCGGCAGCCAGAGGGAAATCGAGCAGCGTCGTAATCGAGCCGAAGGAATGCCCCTTCCCTTTTATCCCTACATGTTCCTGGGCCCTACTCCTCATGAGCACCAGCCAGAGCGAAATCGAGCAACGTCGTAATCGAGTCGAAGGGAAAACCCGGGCGGGGGTATCCTGGAATGGGTGGGGGGTCCTGGTGGTGCTCCGCCCCCTCCTGGGACTTCACACGGCTCTAGGAGGCCTGGTGGCACCTCAAGAGAAGTGCCACCATCGCGAAATATACCACCGACTTGTTCCGTCGATCAAAACCAGGGGGCTCCCCTCCCCCCTACCCCCTCCGTCCCTAAACCAAAGGGGGGTCAGACTGGGAACGGAACGGATCCCAACCGACGTGGCCCAATTCCAACCGTTCGGGGTGGACTGCAATCAGAAATGGTCCCAACCCCAACATCTTCAGACATCCGACGAGATCTTAAAATATCTTCTGCGACCTTACGGGCCCCCATAAAACCTTACGCGGTCGTACAAGAGATCCTCTGATATCGTAAGGGCGAAACTCAGAGGGTTTCAGATATTTTAGTATATATCTAGAGATCTTAAGATCCTGAGAGGCCTTAAGGGGCCTTACGAGCTATTACGAGATGCTGTGATATCTTAATATATATGAAGAGATATTCAAGGATATTGCGGGATATTAAGAAATCTTGTAATACCTTACGGGGTCTGAAATGATCTCGCGAGATCTTCGGGTCCCCTGAGGTATCTCAAGAGGTCTCGTAAGACCTTAAGAAGTATGAGTTTCGCTATCTTAATACATATTCAGATATCCTACGACTTACGCTAAATTACAACAGCTTCTTCATACTGTCAGTCAATAGCACTAGAAACTAAGCGCGCGCGAAGCGCGCGTGGTTCTAATATCTGAATATATGAATATATGAATATATATACACACACATATATATATATATACACTAGAACCATCGCGCGCTTCGCGCGCGCGTAAGTTCTAGCTAGGGCCATGATCACCGTCATCATTGTCATCATCATCCCCGTCATCTTTATGGTAATCGTCATGGCCCCCTGCAGCATCACCATCACAACAATCATCAGTACCACCATTATCATCAGCATCGTGATCACCATCGCCACCATCGTCGTCGTGCTGTTCAGCGTCCTCATCCGCAGCATCAACATAGTGTTGGTCGTCGTCGGCGTCGTCGTCGGCATCGCCATCGCCATCATCATCGTCATCGCCGTCATCATCCCCGGTCCACTGCAGTCCCCTTACCCTCCATCCTCCTCTTCTTCCTTTTCGTTCTCTCCTCCTCCGTCTTCCCCGCTCTTCGGCGTGCCTTCTTCATCCTGCGCCCCCCTTCCCTCCTCGTCCTCAGCATCCCCCCCCCCCCGAGCCAGAGAATCATATCACAATATGTACATATAATATTACAAGAGCAATGTCCCTCCTCCTTCCCCCTCTGCGTCCTCCTGATCTTCCTCCCCCTCCTCCTCCCCCCCCTCCTCCTCCTCCTGCTCCTCCTCCTCCGCCTGCTCCTCCTCCTCCTCCTCCTCCTCCCACCTCCCCCTCCTCCTCCTCCTCCTCCTGCTCCTCCTCCTCCTCCTGCTCCTCCTTCTCCTCCTGCTCCTCCCACTCCTCCTTGTCCCCCTCCTCCTCCTCCTCCTCCTGCGCTCGTACCGCGGCGAGCGCGGTCTTATCCACTGCTACTACTGCAGCTACTGCTGGAACTACTGCTACTGCTGCCCCCACTCCTGCGCGGGCGGGGCGGCCTTGCAGAAGCCGCAGGGCGGCTGGCACACGGTGCGGCCGCATGCGGGCGCGATGCGGGGGCAGCGCGATTCAGAGATGAACGGAGCTGGGGAAGGAGGGCGAGGGCGGCGTCCCAAGAGAGAGGGTGGGGTTCGACATGGGCGAGAGTAAAAAAGTAAAAAGCTGAGACAATTATCTTCGAGGATTCAGCTGTGGGGCGACGGAGGCCTAATCGGTAAATGGGGCATTCTGGAAACTGGTGGCCGTGAAACTCCCGTAATAACCCCCAAAACCGAGGACAGACAAGGCAGTGGCCCTGGGAGTCTAAACCAGCTGCGCACCCGAACATACATCTCTGACAATGCTGGAATCGCGATTGAGTAGCCCAGGCTTCAGCGAGTGTTTTCAGCACAGCTTGCCTCCAAGCAGGAGGAAGAGACAATACTGCAGTCTTGACCTGCGGCCAACAGATCGCGTCCAACTGCCTTGTCGGAACATTGGGGAGGAGGTCGGCAAGACGGGCTCGGAACGTCGGGGCGAGCGAGGGGGGGGGGGGGGGGGACTTGAGGCTCTCGGCAGCGGCGCGCTGGATCTTCTTGCCCTCGCGCTGGGCCTCCAGTGCACACTGTAAAGCACGGCGGCCAGCCTTCGCAAAATGCGGATCGTTGCTGAAACCTGTTGACGCTGCATGCAAGGTGTCGCAAACCGGGGGCTCTGTCCAGAATTCTGGGCAGCGGCGGCCTCTACTTATATCTTCAAGGGAAAGCTCTGACCCCGCCTCCGAGAGACGAGCAACGCAAGACCGCCAAACAGAGAACGTGCTAATTGACGCTCGAATGAGCGTCGCCAGGTTGAGCACTAGAGCACTTCTGAGGCGAGGGCCGCCCCAACTTTCGAGAGAGAAGAACGCCTGACGAGACAGCGAGCAGTGCGGCATCTTTAAAATCGAAGCGAAAATAGCATGCTCTTTCGGAAGCACTGTCTTGGGAAATCCGACAGAACTGAGCGATGTGCCCCAAACAGGAGAGAGCACGCGAGTCGTATAATGTGGTGGCAATAGCTGCGGGCGCTCCTGACTGGGCTATGCTGAACGAGCGTTTCGCCCATTTGGTCATGGGTGCATCCCAGGACGAAGGGGGCGCAGCAGGACCAAGAAAGACTCCTAAGTAGAGCAGCTTGGGTACTATGCATATATCTGACCACTGGGGCAAGTGCTGGTTGATCCAATTCTTATAAGTCCAAGCGACTGCCTCCGAGAAGGGTCCGCTTAATGGCACTAGTTTACATTTACTTAGTTTGAGGGTTAGGTTGGCCACCCGTTTCGAAGCCCGAAAAAACGTATATAATTTTCTGAGGGCGGTCAGATCTCGAATCACACTGCCTTTATCGTCCGCGCAGGCCCTCACAAGGCCCAGCTGCTTCTTCTCGAGGAGGGTTTCGAAGTGTTCGACGAAAGGATGAGACGCCACCGCATATAAGGCCCCGCTCGCAGGACACCCTTGGACAATCCCCGGCTCGACGAGGTAAAGGAATATCACGCGCTGCCCGAGCTGGCCGTAGCACGCGACCTGCGTGTAAATAAACTCCAGAAGCTCGAAGAGGGGCTGGGGGAGGTTGAGCGATTTCAGGATGAGGAAGATCCAGTGCTGGGAGATGGAGGGGAAGGCCTGGCCGCAGTCGAAAGAGAGAAGAGCAGGGAGCCTGGAAGCGCAATCTGGCATCATCGAAGTGATCCGTGCCTCGGTGTCGAGTTCTATTATGTTGCCCCCGAAATTTCGCCTGGGCACGAAGCCCCTCTGGGCCTGATATATGAATCCTGGGGGGGCCCGCGTCAGAGGCTGTATGACCACCGAGGTTAAGATTTTGCCGTCAGTGTTCTTTAGTCCCAGGGGGCGGGTTCCACTGGCATCTCGGATCACTTTGTCGCTGTCATCTGGCTCAGAGCCCTTGACCAAGAAAGCGCCAAACATCTGGCTGAAACCGAAGAGGGGAGGGTTGCCAGCCAGGTTCCAGTCCAACGTACTGCGCAAAACCTGCGGGCCCTCGGGGTGAAATTTCCAGGCCCAGTAAGGCAGGCCATCTGGTCCAGGCGCGCTCGGCGAAACTCTGCCCAGGAAGCGAACAATACTAGCTTCCGAAGGTGGCGGCAACCCTGAAAGATCGATGCTTGGCTTGAATCTCTGGGCGCACTGGAAGGCGGCAGGCTTGTCGATCTTCGACTTCGCAAAAACTTGACCCCAATGCTGAGCCAGACCTGACAAAATCTCGCTCGGCTTCGAGGTGACCGTGTCCTGGGCCGTCCCGAGGCCCTGCAGCGGGAGCTTTCTATCGAAAGGAGACCAAGGACGAGCCCGAATCTGAAGGCTTTTGATGCGCTTGGCCAATTTGGCCCGCTCGAGGGTCGGAAGATCACCTTGAAGTCGCTGTCTGGCATCTGCTTGTGCCGAGTGGAACATTGCCAAGTTGGCCTCGTTCGCCTCAGCGTGAAACCTGACCGGGTCAGTGATGCTCACGCTCTGCTGCATAACATCTAGGATGGTAAACTTGCGGCCGAAGGGGTGCGACAATGCAATGCGCCTGGCCAGCGCCATGTCCTGGTTCCAAACTGCTCTGGCGATGGTGCGGCACGCTACATAACGAGAGAGAGGATCGTGAGGTTTACCAGTGGGAAGTCGATTACGAGCGTGGCGAGCAGCTTCGAACATCAGATCTTTGCGAAAGAGGAGTCGGAGAGGTGGAGAGAGAACACTATCGTCTATCTGTGCCAGCACGGACTCAATAAATTGCTGGCACTCGCGCCGCTTGAAGATATCTCGATGGATTCGTCGACCCTTAGGCGGCGTCTGAGAGCGAGGTGTGAGGATCACGCTGATCGCAGCATGGTCGGACAGCTGCGTCTTAGCAGGCACCTCGAGGTACCCGTGGACGCGAGCACCCGTGCACATCTGGGTGATGCACCATCCTGGTGCTGACGCGAATAACCTATCCAATTG